ATTGTGTAAGCTAGAGATTTAAAAAACTATAGATAAAGCTGATGTAAACTGTAATTCAAAGTACTTTACAAACATTAATTCATTACCTCCAAATAATTATGATGTAATTCTATATTCTTTTCACAAATAAGCAAACAGAGAAGTGTCATTAATTTAGTTGTAGATGCTCCTGATGATTGGCCTTGAGCTTAAATTACTAGGTCATCTTTATTGTGCTTTTAAGTTGGACAGTAATACCGATGGCTAAAATAATTTCTTGTACAACTTAAAAGAAACTGGGTCAAAAAGCTGTCTTCAAAATCTAAGGCAAAACCTAACTGTAAGGAAGATTTTAGTATAATAACAAACATGAGAAAGAAACAATCCCATTAATATTTTTACAACTGATTTGAAAATCTTGCTTCAACCTATTTGAAATAGGTACATAATAGACTGCAATAATATATTTCTTCTTTGGAATATTTCCATTTGTGATTAGTTGCCATTTGTGATACATGAAACTAAATATATACTAGCCAGAGATATGGATTAAGCACTCATATGCACATGACACTAAACTGGACACAAAGCAAACTTTCACAATTCCTATTTCTTTGTAAGACACTTATTTAATCCATGACTATTATTAACATATTAAAAAACATATGTATAAAACCACAGGCACATGAATCAATAACAAATATTGTATAGTCTGCACAAATATTATTGTTCCTGGGTATGAGCTGGACAGCAAATAACAATTTTAAAGGAGAGCTGTGCAACTGGAAAATCACTTTCTTTCTAGATAAGAGGGAAATCAACACATGCTCAGGACTAATCATATTGTTAAATTTTTTTCTTATTTTTCTGCAAGAGTATATTTGCTGTGTTATGTTCTTTTTGAGTGTATAAGTTCATTGGACTACTTTGTGCTTATTCCCTGAAGCTGCATTCCAGCCACTGTGATGCCAGAGATTAATCAGGAGAAGCATCACTAGTTGGCAATGAGAGAGGCAAAAATGCCCATTCAGACTGGCGCCTCTCTATTTTTAGGAATATACTGGGTCACAGCTTGTTACTTTCACAGGGTTCCCTGGAATTCCTATGCAACTTTTCACAGTATATTGCCTTCTTTGCCTTGGTAATACCTCCCCCCAAATCTCTAAATGCCTCAAGGGAACGTCACAAAAAATTCACAAAAACTAGCATCATAAAGCTATTTATAAATCATTCAACCAAAAGGAAATAAAAAGGCAAGTAGGGCTTCCCTGGTGGCGCAGTGGTTGAGAGTCCGCCTGCCGATGCAGGGGACACGGGTTCGTGTCCCGGTCCGGGAAGATCCCACATGCCGCGGAGCGGCTGGGCCCGTGAGCCACGGCCATTGAGCCTGCGCGTCCGGAGCCTGTGCCCCGCAACGGGAGAGGCCACAGCAGTGAGAGGCCCGCGTAAAAAAAAAAAAAAAAAAAAAAAAAAAAAGGCAAGTAGTGGCGTGGAGTGGGGGAGTGGACAAGAGAACGAGAACAGGGCAGGCAGGAGCGAGTGAAGAGTAGAGGGAGCAGCTGAAATAAAAAATAAATTTAAAATATGGTATCACAACTTCAAAAGCTGAAAACAGAGTGAGAAAGAAAAACAGGCTCTAGAAATAATTATACATTTTCCAAATATACTGATAGTAAAATACATAAAATATGACTTTTAAACCAATGCTAAGGACTTACAGTTAAGAAATGGATGGTGACACTGAAAGTTTTGTTTTACAGTATTTATCACAGTTTTCAATTAAAATACTGATACTTTAAAAAAAAATCACACAAATGGTCAATATTTTTTCAGCTAAAATGGAGGACTGATCAAGGATTACTAACTTAATAACTACATTATCTCTTATTAAGAAACAACTAGGAACCATTATCATTCATGCTATTTGATAGGGGGTGGAGATGTAATGTAGGAGTCAGAAATTCTCTAATTTTTTTTTTTATCCTGTAGTCCACTTATTTAATGCAGTCAGGCTAATACACGAAATGGGAAGATTAGCCACATATATAATTTACACACTAAAAAACCCCATAATTTTCTTTACAGCACAAATGCTGTAAAGTCTGTACGGTTTGATGAAAAATTAAATTTTTTCCAGACTGTCTGAAACATATCATAACATCAAAATGAATGTGCAAGTCAGTTCTTTGAACAATAATTCATTTTGAGTCAGCTGAACAGTAGGTAAACCACTGTCAAATTAAGCACTTTAAAAAAATTAGAACTTTGTAGCAAGTCTCCAATTACCCATTCATTCCAATGGTAAACTGCTTTTCTTAAATCTCAATCTACTTCCCAGCAGGATACCCAGACTAGTAAACCATCAGTAAAATGTCAGCTTCCATTGAAAGGAAGGCAGAAGAGAAAGGGAACAAATGGGTAAAAGAGAAAGGGAACCAATGGGTAAAAGAGAAATCTTTATTATTTACAAAATGGAAAAATGAACTACTTTGATAATTACTAATTTGAAAGGAAAGAAGAAGAATAAAATTCTAAGTATTTTTAAATAGAATATGTACTTGATGATCCAGAGGGGCAACTGCACAACATAGAATAGGAAAAAAATCCTATTATCTAATTCCCTACCCTAAGACAAAAATACAATATTAACATTATCAAATTGGTTAATACTCTTAAAATAAAAAATCCAGAAAAAAATAACTCCCTTTATTAGTATAAGCTAATTTGTATTCAAGCATGCTTGTGCAAAAAGTTTTCCTTTTTGTTTAACTTAACTCTTATTCTCTTTTAAACAGAATTTTTAGAATTTTCAAAAGACCATTAAATCACTATTCAGCTTTCTCTTTCACATTAAAAAAAAAAACTACAGCTGCTGTTTCTTTCTTCAAAAGGTTTTACTACTTTTCTGTGTGAGAATGCTCTGGGCATCCTATTTTTCTTTGGATTTCTTTCTACCTAAAAAGAGAAGCCCCTAATCATTAAGCTGGTCTTAAAGTGTTAGGTTTTAAATGGTGAAAACTTTTTTAAAAAAGGCATTGGGCTCACGGTTTACCTATAACCCTCCAGTTATGCTTTTCCTAACCTATTACTCTACATTTGGGAAGAATGATTTTTTTTTGATTCTAAAAATGCTAAAATAAACATATTCTTCTTGAATCTAGTCATCACTCCAGTCTCTCCAAATAACTTTGAACTGAATTTTCTGAGTCACTACACTCCTCAACTTCTTTGCATCAACCTCAAAATTAGTAGGCATGCTCTATATAGTTCATCAGCCAAATAATAAGACATATTTTTTAAAGGATTACACATTGCTGAATAATCTTCTCCTTAATGGACTGAACCCAAGACAGTCCCAGTGGAGCAATGGCTCCAAAATCCCATGACTGCCATATGGGAGTTATTATAAGCAAAAATACACCTACCACATTTAAATTTAAGAAACTATCAGGCTATATAGTAATAGTGCAGCTGCATAGGCGTTTAGCTTTAATTCTGGTTCAAAAACCTGGTTGGGTAACGTGGGTCAGCTTGTACATCTAGATTCTGAATTACTGAAATATGGATTAATTTGATATCAGCTATATGAATAGGTTCCAAACATCCTGAGGCCTATTTTTCACTGACCTAGAAAATATAAAAGATGCACTCATGTCAACGTTCACGCCTCTTCGGTCATTAACCAAAAGATAATAAACATCCAGTAAGAGTTAACACTCTCAGAGTTAGAATATTCCATGAAAACATACCAATATTAAAGAGGTTGTCTTTTAAATATCTTTTAGGCCTAGCATCACTGGTGAAAATCTTTAGTGCTTTTAGTAAAACAAACGCTGGGGTTTCATATAAAGAGAACAAAGAAACTTCAAAAAAGTAGTTCCAGTTTTTATAATATGAACGCACCCACAAAGCGGTGTTCATGGGAACGAATCCTGCCATGCAATTAGGCATTTTTTAAAAACTTAAGAGCCACTTTCCAGGGGCCTACATCCTCCTTCTCACTGCCCAATGCAGGGGTCCTTCTAGTTAAGAGCTGCAGGGTAGCGAGGATGGAATGCTCTCTCCCCGGGGTGATGCAGGGTGGTCCCTAAGTACAGGCATGTCGATAAGCCCCACTTTCCGGGGGACGATTCAGGAGCAACAACTTAGCCCTGACAGGTACCTGCCGGGCGGGGGAATACAGAAGCCCAGGGCCAGGGCCGGGGCTGGAAGGCTGCAGAGTGGGTGGGACGCACAGGCAGCGTCTGGGTAACGCCCCAGCACTGGGCGAAGCGTGGCGAGCGCGTGCGCCCGGGCGAGCCTGCACGGGGCCGGAGCAGGGCTCTCAGGGACGGCGCGGTCTGACCTATGGCCGGGGGCTCGGCCTCGGAGCCAGAGCGTTTGTCAGCGTGCTTTGCAAACAGTGAGGCCATCGTCGGCGCGACGTGCTTCACCGGCCCGGGCCACTCACCGAGATTGATAACCTTGAGCGCCGTGAAGAACCGGTCCTGCCGGGCCAGGTCGTGCCAGGGGGCCTTGGAGCAGTGGTACTTGATGAAGGGGAAGCAGCCGGTGCGCAGGACGTGGTAGTTGGCGCCCTGCACGGGCCAGTTGAAGTGCGAGAGGCCGAACTGGTCGTTGCGGACGGCGCTGTAGGGCACGCAGAAGGAGGTCCAGTGCGGCAAGCGCCGCTGCAGCAGGTGGCGCGTCAGCACCTCCGAGGCGCGGGGCTTCGGGCGGGAGGCGGCGCCCAAAGCCCAGGGCCGGCATAGCAGCAGCCAGAGCACGGCCTCATGGGCCCTCCGCAGCGCCTCCATAACCGGCTTTGCCCGCGTCCCCCGCCCCCTGGCCGCCGTAGGGGCGCGCGCCGCTGGGGGCGGGGCCGAAGGAGCGCGAGCGCTCGCTCGCTCCTCGGGCGTGCGGCGGGGACGCCCAATGGGCGCCGCGCGAGTGTGCGAGACCCCACCGCCCCCGGGCGCGGCGGCGCGTGCGCACAAAGGTCCCGCGGCTTCCTAGGGAGAGTGGAGCGGGGCGCGGGCGGGCAGTCGGCGGTACTCTCGCTGAGGAGGTCGTGAAAACATGACCGAGGACCTCGTGAACTCATTAATAACCCTGAGGAGGGTTGAGGGCGGGCTTCGCGAGTATTATCAGTTTAGGTAAGAGGAAAATTAAACTTTAAAACAATTAAATAACTTAACCACCCTACTGAGTGGCAAAACTCACACCCGTATCTCTTCCAAGCCCCAGGCTCAAGTGCAATCCTTGGTTGGTGGTGTTGAGGAAACCCTTGAGAAGGTGTCCTCAGGGAAGCGAGTTAAAAGTCAAGTCCCCAGATTTGCAGTGGCTGGTAAAGTCGGGGAGCACTTTTGTATTCAGATCCCCGCTGTCGTGTTGTTTAAAATAAGTCCCAGATATTTCAACAGAAAAAGTTTATTTATTAGAAAGTCCTACGTCTCTCCATGCAGTGTGCACCACCACCTCCTTCCTAAGAGTCTGGTGAACGCCAGACCAGGAGTCTTTTAGTTTTAAACCTTAATAATCCTGTCACTCATTATCAAATCTCGTACTTTAGGAAAACCTTTTCTCAAATTTTGCAGCCTCTTGAGGTAATAACTTACATACATCTGCTTTCTAAAGAAGCATTTCCTCTTACATGTGCTAAATTCATGTTTGGAGAAACGATACATAAATAAGATGTGTTTGGAAAGTACTGTATGTAAATGAGACACGTGTAAACACCATATAACAGTTGCTGTTATTGTTGTTGAAGACTCACGTAGGATAGTGTAGGAGAATGTAGGATAGTGTAGCTAGCTCTTACATTCTCCAGTTTTTATTGATTTCTACAACAAGCAATGATTGAGCACCCATAACCATGTGCCAAATCTTGTAGGGTTAAGTCATTTCAGGAGCCTTGTAGTCATGCAAATAATTTAAACTTTATAGGATTCCCTATTAAATTTTGAAAGATTTTAGGGGGAAGCACGATGTAGTTAAATTTGCGCAGAAATGGCTGAAGGGATGCTAAGACAAGTCAGGGAGGTGATTCAATACTGTGATTTCAAATTAAATTTTTAAAAGCACTGGAGTCCTTTTTCAAACAAAATCTGTCATAGAACCCCAACCTATGAAAACTTGTGTTTTATTACTAAACATTTATAAGTGCAAAAATTTAACATTAAAGTTAAATTTTTAAAATGAGTCTAGTTTGTTGTTGTCTTGGGTTTTTATTTTGCTTGTTTTGTTTTTAGCAGAAAAGGAATTTATTGGAAGGAAATTGGATAGCTAAAATAATAAATAGGACGTCTGCAGAACCAAGCTTAGCAATGGGAAGGAATCAAGAGAGACTGGCCGGCAAAGACGTAGGTAAGACCAACAGGAATTAGTATGGTTGGGATGCCGTGGCTGGCCCCATGCCACTGGACTCTTGACCCTGCGGGATTTTTTTGTTTGCTTGGCTTTGTTTTTCTTTAATCTTTTTTTTTTAAGTTGATTTTTTTTTCTTAATTTTTTGGCTGCGTCGGGTCTTAGTTGCGGCACGCGAGATCTTTTTGTTGCGGCACGTGGGCTTCTCTCTAGTTATGGCCGTGTGGGTTTTCTCTTTCTAGTTGAGGCGCGTGGGCTCCAGAGCGCAGGGGCTCTGTAGTTTGCGGCCCGCGGGCTCTCTCATTGAGGCATGCGAGCTCAGTAGTTGTGGCGTGCGGTATTAGTTGCCCGTGCGGCACGTGGGATCTTAGTTCCCCGACCAGGGATCAAACCCGTGTCCCCTGCATTGGAAGATGGATTCTTTACCACTGGACCACCAGGGAAGTCCTGATCCTGCTGTTTCATGCTCAAAAATTTTTGAAGTTGGGGGCTATTGACAACAGTTGTTGCTATAGCAGCCTCAGAACAGTTTATTTCTTATTCCTTTGTTTTGGTTGCATACTATCAAGAAAATCCTGATCCCTTCGGAGAAGTGGATACAGATAAGAGTGGTTTTTAAATGATTCATCTTGAAATCTTGGGCATGTGCTTCAGTTAGAGATGGCAGGAGGAGATTAATTCTGAGATCTACACTGAAATGACTTAACCTCAAATTAATGCATGGGCAGTTTGCAATATGTTAAAAAAATTGACATTATCTCTCCTTTGGCAATATAAAAATCTATTTTTTAAAAAATGAAATTTGAATCAAACATGTGGGGAACCTCTGAATTCTGTCTGAGAAGCCCTAGGTTCTGTAGCATATAATGTAAAACTACTGATAAAGAGAAGCAGATATTTACATAGGTTTCACTGCGTTGTCTCATGAAGGCTTGGGAAAAGGCTGAAGGATTTCTGTTGCAAGACCCTGTCTTGGAAAAACCTCAGCAGTGATGAGGGTTTCTCTAATCCGAGGCTCTTTGATTATCTCTCTTTTCTATTCTAAGGTAGGAAGTTCTTCCAAAGATTTCTGATAGATGTTGGACCACACCCAGGTTTTCAAGAGTGTTTGAATGAAATATTACCCTAACCTAAAGATACAGAGCTGGAGAACATGACATCTAGATATCTCTTCTAACTTTAAGATTTTATGGTACTCCTTCCATAGTTGAAATAAAATAATTTCTCAAAAAACCTACAACTCAGATCAGATGCTTGATTTCCTTTTCAGTTCTAATTCTTCATGGTCATGAAACAAAGGGGCTTAGAAGTTGGCATTCAAAAGCCTGAGTCAATGTTCAAAAATATTGTGTCCAGTAATTAAGAATTAAATGCATTAAATACACGAATACTTAGTTTTCCACAAAGCATGGAGAAATGGCGTATCCCTTAGAAGGAAGCCCTTAAAAATAGCTATCAATAGTGCTACCGTGTACAGCTTTTAACATGTGCATGGGTGTATCATGCTGCTCCTAGAGAGAAGGGAATTTGTTTTGGTTTTGTTTAAAGGCACCTAGGACCTTGTAGATGTTCAGAACATGTTAAAAATGAGTTCTACAAAGTTGATAGTTTGGAATATATTAAAATTAAAAATTTCTGTTCATTAAAAGGCACTATTAAGAGAGTGAAAATGTAATCCAAAGAGTGGGAGAAATATCTGTAATACATATATCTGACAAAGCATTTGGTATCTAGAACAAATCGTTAAAAAAATAATCCAATAGAAAGGTGGACAAAATATTTGAATGGACTCTTCACAAAGGAGAACATCCAGATGTTTAATAATGTGAAAAAGTGCTTTGTTTCACTAATCATATGAGAAATGGGAATTAAAATATATATTACCTTACATATTACACACCCACTAGAGTGGCTAAATTAGAAAAGATAGAAAGTATTAAGAGTTGGTGAGGATATGCAGCAGTCAGAACTTTTATGCATCGCTGGCAACCACTTTGGAAAATTTTTTGGCAGTTTAAATTAAAGCTGAATACATGCATACCTTATGACCCAGCCATACCACTCGTAGGTATATATTTATATTAGTGTGCTCAGGCTGCCATAACAAAATGCCACAGACTGCGTTTAGCCAACCACAGAAATTTCTTACAGTTCTGGGGACTGGGGTGTCCAAGATCAGGTGCCAGCCAGTTGGGTTCCTGGAGAGAGTTCTCTTCTTGGCTTGTATTTTCTTCTTGCTGTATCCTCCCATGGTAGACAGAGTGAGCTCTGTGTCTGACTCTTTCTTTTCTAATGAGGGCACTAGCCCTATTATGAGTCCCACCTTTAGGACTTCATTTAACCCCTATCACCTCCTCCTGTATGAGGCCCTATCACCAAATACAGTCACTTTGGGTATTAGGGCTTCAGCATATTCAGCATATTTTGAGGGGGCACAAACATTCAGTCCTTAGCAATTCCCAACAGAAATTGCGTGCATATGTTTTTCAAAAGACATGTACTAGAATATTCATAGCAGCACTACTCATATTTGTAATACTTAACCAGGAAATTACTCAAATGCCTAGCAGTAGTAGAGCATATACACAAATTGTGGCATATTCACACAATGGAATACTACAGCAACAAGAAAGAATGCTCTACAGTCGCACACAACATGCATGGATCTCACAAACATGAGGAAGAGTGGAAGAATGCAGACACTAAAGAACTTACTGTACGATTTCATTTACATAAAGTATAGAAACTGGCCTAAACTCATCTATGCTGTTAGAAGGGGGATAGCAATCACTCTTGGAGTGGAGAGGCAGTTACTAGGAGGAGTATGAGGTGACTTCTGCGGGACTGGGATTATTCTCTGTTTTTAAAAACATTCTTTTATTTCTATACTTTTTTTAAAAGCAATTTTTTAAGAGTGGTTTTAGACTCACAGAAAAATTAAGAGGAAGGTACAGGTATTTCTCATGAATCCCCTGCCCCACACATGCATAGCCTCCCCCATTATCAGCATCCCCCACCAGAGTGGTACATTAGTTATAATTGATGAACCTATGGATTATTCTCTTTCTTGATCTAGATTCTAGTTAAATGGGTGTATTCAGTTTGTAAAGTACTGAATACAGATGATATGTGCCCTTTTCTGCATGTATATTATACTTCAATAAAAAGTTTGAAAAAAACAATGAGTTCTGCAGGTAGTATTACATAATAACACATCCTGTTATTCACGTTTATTAAGAAATATGTATAGAGAACATATATAGTGGACATGACCGAAACATGACCTTGTACATATATAGCATCTTTTTTCTCATGTTGTTTTGACAACCTTACTGTGAGATCCTGATTTGCTCACATATTTCTAATAGTGTGATTTAAAAGAAAATAGGGTAGGCATGGGGATTTTAATTCACTGCTATTCTCAGGAGAATTAAGGGCAAGATACTAGGTGCATATGTCAGCATGTTGGTAAAAGATAAAGGAATTATTTAAAAGGGATAGAAATATTTACACTTAGGATTTCATTTACAATTTCCAGTTTGAAGCTTTAGGATTTTTGGTTCAAGAAAAGGAGGACCATGGAGTTGCTGCTGCCCCAATTCATATTCCAGCATGTTTTAGAACTTAAAAACAGATACTTCAAAGAACCACCATCCTGAGTCTCCTAGGAACCCAAATCTACTTAATGGCTCAGTGCCCTCTAAGCCCAGCTCAGCACCAGAGGAAGTGGCATGAGTTCCCCCTATAGCTGGAAGAATGCTCCTTCGTTCTCCCTATTCCCATCAGTGGCAAACAGTGCTTGCTGCTCCATTCCTGTATCCTTGTGTGTGCCCTGGCAAGGACAATATACATTGGCTTTATGCAAAATTATCCTCATAGAAGTACTGGGTTATGGCAGGAGTTATTAGGAAAGGAAGGAACTGCTGTATTCTTATCTAGATCTTTTTGAGTCCTTCTGTGGAACTGATTGATGTTCTGAAAGCCCCCAGGCAGTCGGCTGGCAGCTGGGGCTGCTGTTACAAAGAGTGGCAAGAAGAATTACTCTGGTAAAACATTTTATTGTGAACAAAGTGGGTACAGAAATCTCATCCAAAAGCATCTTGTGTCTAAAGTACTCTCAAGTTCTCCCCTCCACTGGAATGTAAACTTTCTAAGGCCAGAGGTTTATGTCTGTTTTATTAACCTTTGTGATCCCAGCACCTAGTAACTTGGCATATGGTAGGTACTCTATTTGTTGAATAAGTGGGAAAAAAAGTGGGTAAAGTGAGTACAATTAGTGTGTTTGAGGGATGTTGAAGAAAGGAAATCATAATATTCAGGATCAGTGGTTTTAATTTTAATTTTGATAGCTGGAGAAATTAAACTACAGAATAGGAAAGAAACTTATCCAAGATCATATACCAGAAACAAGAATCAAAATTCTGGCCTCCCAGCTTTCAGTGAGCTTTTCATTAGGAAATATTTCTATGCTATTCTGACATGGATGCTAGAATCCAGTAGCAAGGAGACATATTTGTGACTCTTTGAAACCAGCTAATGATTTATGCTGGTAGATAACACAATCCATTTCCTGGGCATGTTTTCAATGTTACAATCTTAATAATATGTAGTCAGTGTTTGGGGAAAGCATTTGAAAACATGGCCAAGTAAATTCACCTTGTCATATGGGTCATAATTATGGTCTCAGCTTCATAAAGTGAGCCTTGTTTTACTAACAGATTCATTCATGAATAGCATACAACATTTTTGTAGCAGAAATTATATTTTCATATCAAATTCCTAAGATATTTTGGCTTTGCTGCTGATCTTCAACCGACAGTGACTCTTAGCACTTTAGCTGTGAGTCTTTATGCCCCCTCCCCAGTCTCACTGTCAAGTAGTTAATGATCTATAAACAAATACTGAGATGCCCTAAGGGGGCTCTCCATTTAAAGGGGCCTTTAATCATTTTATAATAGAAATACAGTAGTCCACCCGCTGATTTATGAGTTGTCAGTTTT